TGTGGGCCACTTGGTGAAACGTCACCGAGTCCCACCAAAGATAAAATTGTCCACAATGATGACTGTGAGTCTTCCACAAAAGAAAATACAACACAGGTATAAATTATCTCAAATTTACTATATTAAATTGCAGAATAGAGTATATTTCTCATCACATTGCATAATGTAGTTTTCTATAGGGCTAAGATTGGTAAAGTGTGAGAATTTTTAAGTACCTTGTTGGTAAATTATGAAAGTTAGTCAAACAGACAAAATTATATTTTAGACAAAATTCTGTTTGAAAAGTGGGGGAGGGGGGTGGCTATCCCCAGAATTTACACAACCCCGCTTTATAACAGTAATCAAAAATAAATCTCTTCTCATAAATATAGCCATCAAAATCGTATATTAGAATTAAGTCATTTGTATGTGACAATGGACATAATAGAAATATAGCCTGTTTTATATTTGCGTTCTTCTTTTATTAGTAGACTTTAATTTCTGCAAATCGGATATTGTATTATACACCACTGAACAAAATGCTACAAAACACAAAAATGCTTTGCCGAAATCTGTTTATGTAACTAGTGGAAAATAAAGATAAAGCGTATCATTATACAGGTAATATATATATATATATATATATATATATATATATATATATATATATATATATATATATATATATATATATATATATATTATATATATATATATATATATATATATATTATTAGTGTAGACTAAGACATGATATCTGAAGATAATTTAATAAAACCTAAACCTATTTATGATAAAATATATATATATATTTTATATGATATATATATATTTTACCTGTATAAAGATACGCTTTCTCCTTATTTTCCACTAGTCACATAAACAGATTTCGGCAAAGCATTTTTTGGTTTTGTAGCAAATTGGTTGGTGTAATGCACCAGTCAGTGGAATGCCCCAGTCAGTGGAATGCCCCGCACCCCCTACCCGGGGAATTCCGGGAATTGTTGAGCGATTGAACCTTATATTCGGCCACGGTACACAGGGATTTAGACTGTATTACAATCATGGAAATAATATCCGTAGACTTTTTTAAAACGCATCTTGCCTTACTATTTTGTAAAGCCATTTTATTTTTAGTTAATACAAACGTCCATGATCGCTAGAAATAGTAACTCCCCCCCTCCCCCTACCACAATGTTGGTTCAAACCATGGTTATCGGACCACAAACCAACATTGTAAACGGGGAGGGGGGGAAATTGGTAGATTTTTGAAAAGTCTACGAATTAATTTCCATGATTGTCTATAAAAGTACGGCACTTAGTCATTTTCGACCCGAAACAAAGGTTACTATATTATAATACCTGATTCTCTTTTTGACTGAAATTACTTTATTCACCATGTGCAAGGTTGCTGTGTATTTTTTTTGGGGGTGGGGGGGCATCAGGGGGGTGTGGGCAAGCTGTTTAGCGACGGGATACCTCAAAGCATTTAATTTTGACCGTTTCAATATGTTAAGTAAGTTATGACATAAAGTTTGCCTATGAATTCCTTGAAATATATTTGAAGTTTACATATACATCGAACCGTACTAATTTATTTAAATAAACGTTGCTGCTACAGCTAAATTATATCCGAAATTTCATTGCATTTATGCGGTTGAAGTTTGTGTGGTAATAATAATCTGCATAACAAGACATGCAATTTTTTTATGAATATATCTTATTATGGGAAGTGTAATGCTGCCCTATTTGTTGATGTCAACTGTAACAGCAGTGACGTACAGAGACCATAGCGACCCAAAGGAGGATCGAGGGAGGTGGGGGTGTTCCTCTACAGCCTCTTCGCCTTACCAACCAACTCTATTTTACCAACTTATTTGCCAACAGGTCACAGTTTTCCCTACATAATCTCCATTTTACCGACAAGCTTTTGAAGAAGTTGGGGGGGGGGGAGGGTCACACTCCAACATAACCCGCTCGGCAACCCTTGTGTAACAGACTAGTGCTTATTTCGTTGTAACAGTAAATTGTTATAATTATCATAGAAGGAAGAGTGTGAGATATGATATAAACAAATTTTAAATAGAGACTGCACATGTTACCACATGTTACTGTACATGTTACTGCACATGTTACTATGTATTTATTATATTTTACCATATAATTTGAACAGGTTACTGATGTTTTTTTATAATTATTAAAGTATGTATACTTATATAATGTACAGGAATAACAGATAGCAATATGTTGAAAATTTCAACATGTTACTACATGTTACTGCTGTTTTTTATATAAAGTATATACTCCTATTTTTATAGAAAACAGCAGTAACATGTAGTAACTTGTTGAAATTATGTAGTAAAATATAATAAATTGATTGTAACATGTGCAGTAGCATGTACAGTAACACGTGGTAACATACGAAGAACTTATTTAAATAATTATATGGTAAAAAATGTAGTACACTTATAGTAACATGAACAGTAACATGTAGTAACATGCAGTAACTTGTCCTATATGTAATATATAGAGGTTAATGAAATAGTCATTGCAATCAGTCACGTCTCGTACCTCCAACATTTCGGTTGACGGACAAAAATTTGAATCTCCCTCATAAAATAGACGACAATGCGTTAGTTATTAACTTTTAATTATTAACTTTCAAATATTATTTACGTCAGTCATTACGCAGAATTACGTTTTGTAAATACAGGCTAATTGTATGCAGCAGTGGATCATATATTAAATTCTCCGTTAAAATCTTGGGTATATGCTTGAAAGAGTCTTTATTACCCAACGAACTATTACATTATTTGAAGAGATTTTCCGTTGAAGTAAAAGCAGACAGTGTATGATGTAAGTTTCTTGATTATCTTTCTGTACTATGAACTGTTATAAAGTAAACTCATAAATATTCAATATAACATATAGAATCTGCCATGCTTTAGAGCTTTAATGAGAATTTATACACCGCTTCTCCAAATATCCCCGCACGATTTTTGTCTTTAAATTTAGACAATCATGGAAATAATATCCGTAGACTTTTTTAAAACGCATCTTGCCTTACTATTTTGTAAAGCCATTTTATTTTTAGTTAATACAAACGTCCATGATCGCTAGAAATAGTAACTCCCCCCCTCCCCCTACCACAATGTTGGTTCAAACCATGGTTATTGGACCACAAACCAACATTGTAAACGGGGAGGGGGGGAAATTGGGAGATTTTTGAAAAGTCTACGAATTAATTTCCATGATTGTAGTAATAATAATAATTTATTGACCTATCTTAAGCTTTTAGAAATACATACAAGCTATATATGTTTCCAATGTTATTAATTAGCCAGCTAAGGGAAGCCTCACATATGGATTTTGTCCATGAGAAACGTCATATGTTCGTTTCTCTGGAGACCCCCCCCCACCCACCCCCCCACCCCCCTTAGAAACGTCATACATATTTATCGATATTTTGTTCTTACAGTACACTATGAGTACACATAAGGTAATTTTCTACTATTTTTTTTCGGTCGGCTATTGGCGATGCTTCCGCGAGGAATATGTCATCTTCTGCTGACACTCTTTTTTTATTAATATATATATGAACTTCAAAATTTCCAACGTTTCTCAAAACAACTTTTTTGGATGAAATATTGATAACTTTAGCACGTTTTTCTTGAAATTTGAGTGTTTTCAATGCAAGGAATGCGTAATAATATAAATGTATAGGTATAGAACAGCTACGTATGGTATTACGAATATATAGACTGCTGTTTGTATCAAATTGTTTTCTTTTTTATATTCTGCAAAGATAAAAACTATCGAATTTTTCCATGATATTTACAGAGAAACGTCACAGCTGCCAAACCCCCCACCCCCCACCCACCCCCAAACGAACATATGACGTTTCTCGTGGAAAAAATCGATATGCGAGGCTTCCCTAAATTAAACATAAGAATATTCAAGAATGTATATGCAAAGTATAGAACTGCAGTTTAAAAATAAAATTAGAGAGTGAATGACATTGGTCTGGGTACAACTATAAATGATAGGAATGCAACTACCTTTCCTAAGTTCTTCTTGTATTTTTAAAAAATTCTTCTTGCATTTAAGATTCAATAACTAAATAACAGTGATAACTACATCTTGGGCTCATTACATTTGATGCACATGCTTTGTATAAGCGATTCTTAAGCTTGGGGATTTCATAGTACAATTAAGACCATTCCCACCGAGCACACGACGTTGTTTCAACGTTCAAATTTGGTAGAAAAAAGGTTGCGACGTCGACAACCTAATATCAACGTTGCTCTGATGTTGTTTTACAAACATTGGTTCAACAGCAGCCAACAGACGTTGACTCAACGTTCATTCATGATTAAATGTACGACGTCGATTTGTGAAGTAATCTCAACGTTGTTTCAACGTGGTGTCTCGTTCGTCACTCGAAATAAGCTATAGTGTTGTCTTGCGTTGTGTTAACTTGTCTACGACGATAACGAGATCTAATGTAGCGTAGGTTTTTTCGATAGAGTCAAGGACGATCTACACCATAGTTGAATATGTATTATTTACACTAACACAAGCTCAAAGGCCAGTGCGAAAACTATATACAACAAAAAGGTGATTATCAAATTATCCTGAATGTCCCAGTTATCCTAGTGCAAGTGTAATTCTATACTAGTTCAATTAACTAACCGTGTTCGATATAAGATATTAATAATGAACTGTTTAAATTAGAATACGTGCAAGATATCTATAATGTTCAAAGTACTGTCAATTCTCGACATCCTCCAGGGGACGCGAGACTATGGATGTCCACTGTTTCAATTTCTCCTTTGCCAATCGTGCTTTTGCTCGAACAGGTCGGCTTGACGTTTGATCTATGACGTCAGCTGGGTGAGGATTTGTTGAGGTATTTTTTGTGTCTAGATATTCTTCAGTGGTGATCTTTGGGTTCTCTGTTGTTGTGGATTTAACTTCGAGTAGGTATGTCCAGTACTGGTTTTGATATTTGCTGCCCGTACTAGTCCGTCTTTTCCCTTGATTAAACTTTGTACAACAGCAAGTCTCCAGTTAACACGTTTCGTGTCATCGTGTACTTGAACGACATCACCAACACGTATCTCGGTTAAATTGTTTCCAGTGGTTTTATGAAATTTCCGTAAGCTCGTCAGATATTCTTGACGCCAACGTTTCCAAAAGTGTTGTATTAGGTGTTTTCTCAATTTTGCTTGGACATCAATGTTACTAGGTTCGGATTCATAGATAGGATCACGAAACTCGTCGTCTTCGTAAAGGGGGTGGGGTAAGGTGGTGATTCTCCGGCCATACAGTAGATGGGATGGTGTTAATGGTTCTGTGTCGTCTAGTTCTGATGATACGTGGGTTAACGGGCGGTCATTGAGAATTGCTTCCGTTTCGGAGGAAATTGTTTGGAGCTCTTCTAAAGTGACATTCGCCTTTCCGAGAACCTTTTTCAAGGAGTTTTTTGTCAGACCAATTAATCTTTCCCAGAAACCACCGTACCATGGTGCTCGTTTTAGGATAAATTTCCACTGCATTCCTCGTTTACAGAGATTGGTTTCCAACTCTGTTGAATTGAATAGTAGGGTCAACTCTTCCGCGGCAGATTGGTACGTTGATGCATTGTCTGACACCATAATTTTTGGTAAGGACTTGCGGCTTGCGAATCTTCGAAAGGCAGACATGAAGGTCGGAACAGTTATAATTGTGACTACTTCGATGTGGACTGCGCGTGTGTTTGCACAGGTGAACAAGCAGATGTAGACCTTTTCTTGTCCACGTGGCATTTTGACGTAGATGCATGGCCCCGGTGAAGTTTACACCGGTGACGGTAAATGGGTGGGAGTCAGTCATTCTATAGAATGGAAATGGAGGTGGGTCAGGGGCATTGTATGGTGTTCCGAAGACCTTTCGACACGTTACACATTTGCGAAGTATTTTCTTGATGTACTGGCGAGCTGTTGGAATCCAATACTTCTGGCGTATTTGTGTCAGGGTTTGGTTTAATCCAGCGTGTTGTAGTTTCTCGTGTGCATCGTTGACAACCAGCAAGGTGAAATGGTGGTTTGGGGGTAAAAGTATGGGAAACTTTGCTGAATGTTCCACTGGTGCATTGTGAATTCTGCCACCACAACGAATGATGTTGTCTTCCAGAGTAAACAGGCGAAGTTGACGTACAAGGGGTAGACAAGAGGTTTTCGGCTTTTGTATGTTGGCAAGTTCGTTACCGTAGGCGTCGTTTTGGATTTCCCGTATCCAAACATTTCTCGCGTTTTCAACTTCGTGGACCTTTAGTGGTTTTCCCTTACATGCGTTGCCCTTTTGCAGGGTATTAACGAAGCTAAGTACCCATGCTGTAGTTCGCAGTAGTCGTTGAAGGTCACTGAATTTGGTAGGTGGAATAATCTGGGTTATGCTGACTTTGCTCGTTTCTTGATCTTCGTCGAGGCAGGACTGCAGAAGAACGTTGTTAGGTTTCCATTCTGGCCAGTGGTTGTGGTTGGTTAACCAAGGTGGGCCATGCGTCCACAAATTAGACTTGGAAAGGTCGTCTGTCGAGCTTCCTCGTGTTAGGAGATCTGCTGGATTGTCAGAAGTTGGGCAGTAGTTCCAGGTGGCATTGTTCCAGGTGGCATTTCTTGAAGCTTCAGCGTATCGACTTTACTGTTCCAGCGAAGACCAAGCAGTTTTGCTTCGGTGTTGTCGTCTTGAGCATTTTCTTCATTGGCGAGTGCACAAATCTTTGAACTGTTCGAGTTCCATTCACGTAAATTGAAGTTGGCAGAAGACATTACGGATCTGGTGTGTTTCAAGTAGATCGCAGCTTCGTTTTCGTTATCTGTGCCAGAAGCCAAGTTGTCGACGTAGATGTCGGCTTTCATTCGTTGTGCGATTGGATCATTGCAGCTGTCAAGGTGCTTCTTGATCGTTGCATTCAAGATAAACGGGGAACACAATGCACCAAACAAGATAGATTTGAACCGATATACGTCAAAGCTGCTTTCGGGGTTGGTTGGGTCGGATAGCCAAAAAAATATTGTTGCATCTCTATCTCCTTCATCTAGAGAGATGTTCAGGAAGGCCTTTTCTATGTCTGCGGTTAAAGCATACCGATAGCATCGAAAACGGACGAGTATGGCGGTCATATCATTAAGGATGTCAGGGCCAGTGGAAAGGCATGAGTTCAGGCTTGCTTGGTCGGCATTTGGGCTGCAACTGCAGTCGTACACAATATGAATAGGTGTCGTAGGGGAATCTTTTAATACAGCGTGATGTGGGATGTAGTGGGAATAACCGTTTGATGTTTCTGGATTTGTAACTCTTTCAATAAAACCTCGTTTTAACTGTTCGTTAATAAGTTCACTGTAGGTTTGCAATGTCTTGGGGTCTTTGGCTAATCTCCTTACAGTGGAACGGGTTTTTCCTCGCGCTACTGCTTCGTTGGTGGGAAGGGGGTCATGGTTAGGTTTCCATGGTAACTTTGCACAGTATCGGCCATTCACGAGTCGTATTGAAGAATCCTGATATTCCTTAACAAACTTATCTTCGTGGGTTGTTATTTCGTCTGGAAGAATCTCAATAGATTCTAGATTCCAAAATCGTTCTAAAGCTTTACTTTCGTGTTCCTTTGAAACAATGACTTTCAAGATGGTTGCATTGAGTGATGTTGTCGCAACAGCTGGCCCAGTTGTTGGTCCAGAAAGCAAGTAACCGATTCTAGATGTCGCTGCAGTGGGGCCCGGTCCCCTAACGATTTTGTCTTCGACAACGTCCCGGTAGTGGTCCGCGCCAATCAAGAGGGATATGTGGAAATGATCATCAGTCGTCATAGGGTGTGCAAGCTTCAAGCCGTTGAGGTGTGGGAGGTTTCGAATTTCGGCGGTGGGGAAACTTTTCTGCGGAACTGCGATTGTGGGAATTATCAATACCTGTAAAGGAATTTTTTCGCCATCTTCGGTGTTGAGATTAATCGTAGCCATGTCTACTTGTTTGATAGAAGTCGAAGACCCGCCAAAGACTGGTAGATTTAAGGTTTCACTTCCTTCAGGCGTAAGTTCGAGTTCGTCAGCTAAACTTTGAGTGATAAAGGAACGTTGAGCACCTTCATCAAAGAGAATGTGTGCTGTCGCTATTTTGTTCTGTGTTGCTATCGTATTAATGGCAGTTTTGAAGAGTGTTTGTCTCCCATAGTAGTCGTTGACTGACAGAGACGTGTGGACACGGCTGGGGTTTTGTCGACGGGTGGATTGGTTTGCGCGTTTTGAACTTGCGTCGTAATATTCGGTGCGTCATTATTCGGCGGATGATTTTTCCCGGTATTTTTTGTCGCATCTTTGTTCGTTTCATTACAAAGACTCGTGTGGTGTTTCTTGTGACACCCTCGACAGCGATTTCTCGAGTTACATTCAGATACGCGGTGATTGTTCAAACAGTTAAAACATAACTTCGCTTGGAAAACAATATTCTTACGGGCTGTGGGATCCTTTACTACAGTACACTCGTTAGGGCGATGATGGCCCGAACAGAAAATGCATAAACTCTTGTTTGTAGGGCGATTTTTAGGTGCGTAAAATTCTTTTGCGTTGGCATGGTCTCCAAACTTTCCAGATGCGTTTGTCAGTAGACTCGATGTTGATGGCAGGGTGTTGACAGGTTTGCCTAATTGACTAATTTGACTGAAAGAGTCTGTTTCTTCCCCAGCTTCTAGTATTTGAATTTCTTTCAAAATTGATTTGCGTAATTGTTCTACTGACCATTTAGTTGAACCGTTCTCTCGAATTAAGTTGTGCTTGATTGTAGTGGGTGTAAGCTCTTTGCGTAGCGATAGGGTAGACTGATTTCTTAAAGCTTACGGGGGGTTTTACTTGAGTAGCGTGAGGTTTTCGAACTTCGTCTTTGACGCAGATAGAGTAGATGAGTAGACGTATTACACGTATAGATTTCTTTAATTCGGTGTTCAAATATAGCAACAATCAATAGACAATCAAACGAGTTCGAACTATAAGGAAAAATAGTGACTAAACTAGATACCATGCAATAGTTATACTATTATACTAAATCAACTTGAATATGCTAAATTACTGTCTAAATATAATATGCGCATGCTTTCTAAACTAAATTAAACAAACAAATAAATATATAAATCCTACTTTGGTGTCCTCTTGTTCCTCAAGTAGCGTCCAGTATCTTTTCTTCGGGAATCGTTTTCTTAGTTTTAGCGTGAATAAATTGATCCTTACTGATCGGTCGACTGTTCAATTTGATCTATCACGCGAGCCCCCTATGCATGTGACGTAACAAATACATGCCCAGAGGCTTGAGTGACGTTTCAAACTAACATTCCGGCCCCTTAAAGGCGTACAGTATACTAGTGCCTTTATAAACTAATAACAAACTGTTTGAAACAAAACTCATGCATAATAATATAGCGTCATATTAATGTGTAAATGTTATCTTATACTCATCTTGTCTTCGTTGTTCACTGCGTTCCTTCCAACACGACGATCTTGCAGATTGGTCTTTCCAACACGGATGTAGAGGTCTTCAACTTCACACTTCGAACATGTCCGTCACTTCTGTTACGATGAACTTCGATCACACGAGCCAACGGCCACGAACTACGCGGTGTATTCTCTTGAAGTAGAAGCACGACGTCGCCGACTTCTACGTTCTTTCTCGGTTGATTCCACTTTTGTCGTTCTTGCAATATCGGAAGATACTCCTTCAGCCATCTCCGCCAGAACACGTCTGCCATATACTGTACTTGTCGCCATCTGCGCCGTGTGTACAAATCTTCCTTCACGAATTTGCCGGGTGGAAGTGGGGGACCTGCACGTAATAGCAGCAGGTGGTTCGGGGTTAGAGCTTCGCTGTCTCTCGGGTCATCGGAAACTTTCGTTAATGGTCGTCCATTTATGATAGCTTCAACTTCGCACATCAACGTATGAAGGCTTTCGTCGTTCAGAGTCTGTTCATGAAGCAGCGCTCTCATCACCTTCCTCACTGTACGGATGCATCGCTCCCAAACGCCGCCGTGATGGGATGCAGTCGGTGGGTTAAAAATCCACTTGATATTCTTCAGTAATAGAACTTGATGTATCTTATCTTGGTTCCATTCTTTAATGCAACTTCGCAATTCTTTCTCTCCGCTTACAAAATTTCCTCCGTTATCTGATCTGATTTCTTCTGGATTTCCACGTCGGGCTACGAATCGTCTTAGAGCGTTCAAAAATGAATCAGTGTCAAGACTCGATGCTACTTCGATGTGAATTGCACGTGTCGTCAGGCAAGTAAATATCACACCGTATCTTTTAACTAAACTTCGCCCGCGTCGTACATTGAATGGTCCGAAACAGTCCACACCAGTGAAAGTAAATGGTGGTTTTGAGGGGGTTACTCGACTCTTCGGAAGATCAGCCATTTTCTGCTCTGCCACCGGTGATTGTCTGCGCCTGCAGTCGAAACAATCGTTGACCACCCTTCGAACTAGGAGTCGGCCTTTGACTATCCAAAACTTCTGTCGTGTTAAGGATAGGACATATTCTAGACCTGAGTGTCCAGATAATTGATGATAGTGACGAGCAATTAGAGTAGCCACATGGTGCTGCTTAGGTAGAATGACTTGGTGCTTGGCTGTATTCTCAAGTGGTGCATGACGTAATCTGCCTCCAACACACAAGAGACCATCGATGATTTCTGGACTTAGCTTGTTTATCGGACTAGATTTTTTCACGTTCCCATTCTTTTGTTTCAATGCGGTCAGTTCGTCTCGAAAACTGGTCATTTGCACGATGTTGAGGATGAACCTTTCAGCGTTCTCCATTTCGTCAAGCTTTAACGGTACCGGTTTTTCTTTCTTTTCTTTTGACATGTTGATTATTTCACCACTCTTTCGCTTTCGTACGGTTTCTCGAAGTTGTTTCACGTAGCGGATTGCCCATGCAATTGTTTTCCTGAGCTGTTTCCAGGAAGAAAATTTCTCGAATCGGGAACACATATCGTTGGCAGATTCATCATCATCAGATGAGACGCTGGTAGACGTCGTTAAGGTTGTTGTGGCGTTTCTTCTTACTTCTGGATCGCATTCAGGAATATCAGACTTCATTTCTTCTTGCTTTGGCCAGTGTTCGCGGGATTTCCAGAGGAAGTCCGGTCCTTTCAACCAACGTTCGTCCTCCAATAATTCCTTTGCTGTTAATCCTCGAGAAGCGTCATCTGCCGGATTTGAACTGGTATTTACGTATTTCCATTGAGACAATTCAGTCGCATCTTGAATCTTTGATACTCTATTGGCTACGAAGGTTTGGAATCTTGTGCTCTCGTTGCCAATGTATTTCAAAACGCAGGTGCTGTCCGTCCAGAATACGGATTCATCAACTTTCATGTCGAGCTCTCCTTTCATCATCTTATTGAGCCTTGTCGCAACTACGGCCGCAGACAGTTCCAATCTGGGGATCGTCATAGCTTTCAACGGTGCTAATCGAGACTTGCCAATCAAGAAACAACAATGGATGTCTCCTCGTTGGTTGAGTATTCGTAGATATGTGACAGCTCCATAGCCTTTCTGGGAAGCATCAGAGAATGTATGCAGCTCGCATGAAGTGATCTCACCGAAATCAGTAGGTTTGAAACAACGGTCGATAACGATTCTTTCGAGTTCGGGTAGCATGCTTAGCCAATTCTGCCATCGATGGAGTGCATCTTCAGAAATTTGCTCGTCCCATCCTAAGTTGCTTCGACAAAGATCTTGTAATATTGTTTTAGCCACAAGGACAAATGGTGAAACAAATCCGAGGGGATCGTAGATGGAACTCACCACGGAGAGAATGCCTCGTCTGGTTGCTGGTCGATCCTTGATGATTATCTTGTAGCCAAACTTATCAGAGACGATATCCCAACGTACACCGAGTGCTCGTTCTACTTGAACTTTGCTAAAATCCAGGTCTTTCACCGTAACTGCTCGTTCACTTTCTGGTAAGGATTCTAACACCTCTCGCGAGTTTGACGTCCACTTCGTCAAGCGAAAGCCACCTTTCTGCAGAAGTTCGTAGAGATTGCTTGCGAGATTGATACCCGTTTCTTCATCTTCAACCGATTTCAGGCAATCGTCAACGTAAAAGTTTCTTTCTAGAGTGTTTATTGTCTCCGCGTCGAAATTCTCTCGATTATCTTCGGCAGTTCTTTTTAGTGCAAAATTGGCGCAGCTTGGAGATGAGATACCGCCAAAAAGATGAACTGTCATCTGGAATTCTTCTGGATTAATAGATGTGTCACCGTTCGGCCACCATAGGAAACGTAGCACATCGCAATCTTTGAGTGGAGTTCGCACTTGGTGGAACATGGCTTCAATATCGGCCATGAAAGCCACAGGACTTTGTCGGAATCTGGTCAAAACACCCGTTAACGAGTTCGTCAAATCCGGCCCCTGTAAGAGCTCATCATTCAGAGAAGTACCTTCGAATTTCGCAGAACAATCAAACACGACTCTTGTTTTGCCTGGCTTCTGTGGGTGAAACACTGGGTGGTGAGGTAGATACCAAACGTTGTCATTTATATAAGTGAGTCGTTCTTCTGGTATCTTTCTTGCGTAGCCTTTCTTCACGAGATCATCAATATAATTGCTGTAATTCTTCAGTAGTTGAGGATCTTTGTCTAACCGTTTCTTTAGGAACTTCAGACGACGTTCTGCCATTGCTCGGTTATTTGGTAATTTGGGGGTGGTCTTCTTCCAGGGTAATGCGACTTCATAATGTCCATCTTTCAACGTAACGGATTCGTTCATTACGTGTAGTGCTCGTTGGTCCTCTCTCGATAGCGTAGTTTTGTCTGTATCTTGCGTTTCAGCGAATTCCATGTTGCAAAATTCTTTGAACTGGTTTTCCAGATTGGCATCGGTTGCTTGCAAGTAATTGGCGATGTGTTCTGTTGAAGCATTTCTTCCTAATGGACCGTTAACTACCCAACCAAAGATTGTTTTCGTTGCGTATGGACCACCGTCTTTACTCCTCCGTATTTCAATTGGTTCTAGAACTTCGGGTACGTCGCATCCGATTAACAATCCAATTTCTTCGTCAATTCGATCAATTTTAATGTTAGCTAGATGTGTCCATCTGTCGATATCTTCTCGTGTAGCTAGGTTTCTGGTGGACACTGGTAAATTTGGTGTAGAAAACACAGTTTCTATAGCAACAGGATTTTCTCCGTTCAAGTCTGAGAGTTCTAGACTTACGATTGAACTTTCTGTTTTGCTGTTTGCCTTTTCCATTGTTGTTAGCGAGAGTGTTGTTCTTTTGCCCTTGATATTGAGCCTTTTCATCAGGTCTTGTGAGCAGAATGAAGTGTTTGATCCACCGTCGAGAAAGGCGTACGTTTCAACAGTTCTATCACTTCCCATAGCCTTGACCTTGACTGGAACGATAGCTAAACCAACAGCTGTGCCATCAGATGCCGATTTACTCCTCGAGCCATTTGTTAACTTAACGTAACCAGTTTGTGCCTTGTTTTCGATTTCTTTGCCTTCCGTATTTTCTCGCTTCGAATGTTGTCCTTCTTTGACATTGTTTGGTTTGACACTTTCATGGAGAAATGTCGAGTGCTTTTCTTTACAATCTTGGACTTTGCAAAAGCTGTCCTTTGGACAATTTCTTGCCAGATGACCTCTCGTGAGACAATTATCACACAGTCCCTTTCTTCGCACAAGCTTGAACCTTTCAATCAACGACATTTTCCTAAATTGCTGGCATTGCGATAACCAATGATTGTTGTCACATTCTGGACATTTGGGTGACGATATCTTCGGGACACGAAAAGAGGATTCATCTTGGTTATCAATAGCAAAATTACTCCTAGAGTTCCCATCACTTCTTCGATTACGGTTCGGTTCCTTTTGATCATCCTTCGTTTCGTTTGATAGATTTCCAAATATAGGATGAGATGACGCTCGAGCCTTCGCTTCCACGAACGTAGCTATGTCATCGATAGTTATTTCTCGTGACTCCTTCTCAGTAATCTTGTCGACCACGTCTCTCCAATTCTTTCGCATACCATAAGGCAAACGTTCAATTATCTTTCTTAAGCTGTCTGGATTATCTAGCTTGCTTGAATACCCAATGGTTCTGAGCATGTTCTTGCAGCTTGTCAAAAGGATGGAAAAGCGTTGAAGAGCTGCAGCATTTTCGGACTTTATCATTGGGCCGGTGGTCACGCGATCAACGTACGATGCAGCGATTTTGTAATCCTGGCCATATCTTCGCTTCAACAGCCGCCGTGCTTCTGCATAACCTTCTTCACCTTTCATAGATAAGCAACTTTTCATCAACTCTTTCACGTCGCCCTGAGTGTACTGAATAAGATAATAGAGTCTAGCGCTATTACTATCTGTATTCGTTTCGATGAGATTCTCAAACGCTCGTATGAATGTTTGGTAGTCGATTGGATCACCACTGAAGACGGGAACTTCGGGTTTCGGTAGCATCAAAGCATTAGCGCTTTGTTTTTGGGTTTGTAGAAAACGTTCAAATTGAGCGTTGTCGTCATCTCTTTGCTTTCGCGTGGCTTCGAGGTTTTTATCAGGAACAACGTCCGCGTTTCTCTTTCTGACTTCGGTAGAACTGGTTTGATCTGGCGATGTATCCACTGTTTCACATTCATTCACGTTCGGAGATTCAACAACATTTCGGGCATCGCTTTGTATGCGAACATCGTATTCTCTTTGTGACGAACCCATTCGCGTAGGTTTATCACTCATTTGTTGAAGAATCGTCGTTTCCGTTTTCTCTGCCTCAACATAGGCATTTTCTTCTGCAGTCGCCATTGCCAACTGGGTTTCCAACTCAAGTTCTTCGGCCAATCTTTGTAAATGAAATTGTTCCTCTTGCAAAGATCGCTTTTTACGAAAAGAAGCGGCTTGTGCTTGGAGTCTCGCTTTCTTGGCTGCTGCTTTCGCCTTAGAAAGAGATATGGAACTTGAGGTTGACGCACCTGAGATGTTGGAACCAGCCATTGAACGCTGCGAAATATTTCTAGCGTGAGACTTTTGCCGTAGTCCAACGCTGCTCACGGAATCTTCCGGTCGTACATCATGTATATCTGATACAAGGATAAGTCGTTCGTTGCATTCGTTTACATTTTGCTTTAGATCCGTAATACGATCCATTTCAGTATTAAAATAGTCGTTTGATTCCTGTATATCATCCTCGTCGTGTAGGTTTTGATGCAGTAACTTATGAGCATTACTAAATTTTTCAATTGCTGTTTCGAGGTGTAACATTTTTTGACTAATCTCGGATGCATTGCTTGGATCTAGAATTAATTGTTTTATTTCATTATGTTTCTTTGTTAGCGCCCGTTTTGCGCTAGTTCTATCTTGTTTCAGTTGACGAATATCAACAGGCGCATCTCTAGATTTAGTCGCGTCAATTTTATCGCGTTCTTTTCCGTCCAAAACGTCACCGCCAATAGACGTAGTCTCTTCTTGATCGCTCATAGTTTAATAATTTCCTGCGCAAATTAAACTCAAGGGTTTTAATTTCCTTAGTGGGTTTAATCAATTGCGAATGTCAGTGGTAAAGTCAATTTCGAGATAAGCGCATTCTTGAAATTCTTCAAATTCTTTCTTTGGCCCGCGGCAGTCACGCAATGTTAGACAAATTGTACAATACAATACAAGACTGTTCGGTAATCGGTGTTATAAATGGAACAAATTCGAACTAATGTAAGCTCTTTGCGTAGCGATAGGGTAGACTGATTTCTTAAAGCTTACGGGGGGTTTTACTTGAGTAGCGTGAGGGTTTCGAACTTCGTCTTTGACGCAGATAGAGTAGATGAGTAGACGTATTACACGTATAGATTTCTTTAATTCGGTGTTCAAGTATAGCAACAATCAATAGACAATCAAACGAGTTCGAACTATAAGGAAAAATAGTGACTAAACTAAATACCGTGCAATAGTTATACTAATATACTAAATCAACTTGAATATGCTAAATTACTGTCTAAATATAATATGCGCATGCTTTCTAAACTAAATTAAACAAACAAATAAATATATAAATCCTACTTTGGTGTCCTCTTGTTCCTCAAGTAGCGTCCAGTATCTTTTCTTCGGGAATCGTTTTCTTAGTTAGCGTGAATAAATTGATCCTTACTGATCGGTCGACTGTTCAATTTGATCTATCACGCGAGCCCCCTATGCATGTGACGTAACAAATACATGCCCAGAGGCTTGAGTGACGTTTCAAACTAACAACGACTTTTCATATAACGCTATAAATTTCGGATAACACACGACTTTTCATATAACGCTATAAATTTTGGATAACACACGACTTTTCATATAACGTTATGAATTTTGGATAACACACGATTTTTCATATAACACTTTCAATTTTGGATAGCACACGACTTTTCATATAACGCTATAAATTTCGGATAACACACGACTTTTCATATAACTTTAATTATGATCCTTTGCGAGCTTACGGGCTGCTAGAGCACGTGGGCAAGAAACTTGAAATTTTTATAGTACGTGCACATGTTTTTATACATCGCTGAATTTAAAATCTAAATATTTCGCAAATCCTAAATTATGACATCCTCTGTGGAAATATTAGTGGGAACACAGCTATAGGGAACTTTTGAAAAATTGTGCTAGTAATCTTGACGAAGCGTCGCGATTGTTATTAAACGAGGAAAATGCTCAGAGTGATGGTCGGACAACCACTGTGAAGGACGCATGAGATTCAACATGACATTCAACATGGTATTCGATATGGTGTGAACTCACTCATTTCAATTACTCAGAAGTAAAAATGAAAAATATAGCCATTTCTTCTCTTCCAAATGAATTAGAAAGAAAGAAATCATACAGTTCGTATTAACTAATTAATAACTTTGTTTTATTGCACACAAAGCAACAAACGCGCCAGAGTTTATTTTAACATGCAGTTCTACACAAAATGTGCAGTTCTAAATCCATTTGTGCAGTCCTTAAAACTCAAATGTGCAGTCACCAAACTAACAAAAATAGCCTTAATTAAAACAGTCGTCTTATTCACTCGTTACCCTTGTGGATGCTCCAGAAAATTCCAGAATTGCTGTCCTTAATTGAGCATCAAAAATATAAACGTTTTCTGGGGGAGGACTCCAGACCTCCTACTTTCCTCACAAATCACTTACGTGCTGGCGTAATGGAAAATAAAGTAAAATTGGGGCGAGCGAAGCTCCCCAAAAGAGATTAGAGTGGGAGAACCTAATATTCATAATAATCTTAAATTTGCATTTGAGGCAGCTACCGGGGTAATTGTTGTTCGATATGTAGAATTGTTTCCTTTATATTGAGTTATTCTTAGATTCAAAAGACTCACTTCATGCACTGGTTTTGTACAAATTTATTACATAAAACACAACATAAACACACATAAATTCCCTCTCGTACAATTCTTTCCTCGTGTTCAGTTTTTGTACGCATGCGCCATGCTTCCACTTAACAATAACAACTTCCACTAGGAAAATAAACTTCTGTCTTCTCTTACACTCCCTCCGTTGACCAATCAAATCCGTTGGTCAACAAATCTATAACTAAAACAGTTAAGTAGTTCAATAATGTCAAGAAATAAATTGTATATGCAGCATGGTTAAACTAACCAAATATCCAAAGTTCAATCCTATAATTGTCGACATATATTCTACAATCCTCATAAATCAAGGTCCTTGATCCATCTCTTTCTTCGGTTATCCGCTTCGATCGCTGCCGCTCTCCTGGGTCTTGTTCTCGTCACTTCTGCTTTGTCATCCTCCTTGGCTTCGACAGGTAATTCACTTTCACTGGCTATAGATCTGATTTCCAAGGGGTAGAGTCGCTGAACAGGTCGTTTTATGGTGGTTGATCTTCCTTTCTTTGAAAACACCTTTACTACAGCTCCTCTTGTCTGTCCATCAGCTCCAGAGACTAAACTTTCAACCTTTCCCAATCTCCAAAGTCCTCTGGGACGTGATTCTTCGTGAACTACTACAATATCCCCAAGACTAACGGTTTCATTTCCATTTCGTTTCTCAACTCGGTGAGATTCTCGCAACTCCATCAAGTACTCATTCCTCCATCTCGACCAGAAATGATTCATAACATTACTTAAATGTCTCATCCTCCGGGTTAAATCATCCGTATATAACTTAATGTCAAAATCTGGATCGTCCTCATTGTAGTTGGGTTCTGGCAGACTCAATAGCCTTCGTCCTATTATCAGATGTGAAGGCGTGAGCGGTTCTTCGAAGTCCTCTGTGGAAATATACGACAGAGGGCGAGAATTGAGGATCATTTCGACTTCAACCGTTGCTGTGAGGAGCTCTTCGTACGTGAGCTTAGCCGTTCCCAATGTTTTCTTTAAGCATCTCTTCGTCGATTTGACTAGCCTTTCAAAGAAGCCTCCCCACCAAGGGGCCTTTTCCAAGTTGAAATGCCATGTTATGCGCCTTCCAGCAAAGAATTTCTTTACGTCAGGATGAGTTAAAATGGTAGTAATTTCTTTCGCTGCGGGTTTAAATGTCCCACCGTTGTCCGTTATAACAGTTGATGGTATTCCTCTTCGGGCAGTAAATCTTCTGAAACTCCTCATGAATCCTTCTGACGTCAAATTTGGCACGACATCCAAATGTACTGCTCTGACTACGCAACATGTATATAAACAGATCCAGACTTTCGGACTTTCCTCTCTCGTCTTCACGTATAACGGACCGAGAAAATCTATGCCCGTCGCAGTAAAAGGTGGTGCCTCGTTTACTCGGAACTCTGGCAGCGGAGGCGCGGGTGGAGCTTGGTAAGGCTTTCCTTCAAACCTGCGGCAAGTAGCACACTTGCCCAGTTGTGTCCGAATAAACTGTCTTCCTCGAACAAGCCAATACTGGGATCGCAATTCAGTCAGGGTCTCCTTTACGCCATTATGCATCACTTTCTTGTGGCACTCCCGAATGATTAGGGTTGTGAGATAATGATTCTTGTCCAATATGATAGGATGCTTCGTCATTAATGGCAAGTTCGCCTTTGCCAATCTTCCTTTGCATCTCCATACATTTTTTTCGTCAAGATAAAGATCAAACTGAACCTTCCAGTGTTCAAATTCCCCTTTCTCAGGCAATGCTCGTTGCATTTCCTTCATCCACACAGTGTGAGCTTCATCAATTTCGTTCGCACTTAAACTACCACCTTCAATTCTACCGTCCTTCTTGTGTTGCACTGCTTTCACAAATCGTAGAACATACGCTGTCACCCGAAGAAGTCGTTTCAGGGTTCCAAATCGCTCGCACCTTATAATTTTGTTGAGGCCATGCGAAGAATTGCTCAGTGTAAGGGTTGATAAACTTGGTGGTTTCGTTAATTTCATTTCCGCTAAGCACTCTTCTGGTGGTACGCATTGCTCGTCACCGTCTTCAAGCCTTTCGGTATTAGTTTCACCTAGCCAATCTGGACCACTGTGCCATAGTATACTGTCCGCTAGCTCTGAAGGGTTTATTCCTCTTGAAGGTATGTCAGCTGGGTTATCTCTGCCTGGACAGTGTCGCCAAGAATTCGGGCTTACCAGACTTCGGATTTCCATTGCTCGGTTCTGCACGAACTGTTTCCACTCCCGATCTTCATTCTTGATCCAGAACAACGCTACTTTCGAATCAGTCCAGCAAACTGAATCTTGCAATTGTAACTCTAGACGTAAGACCTCCTCCACGTCTTTAAGTAATCTTGCAAGGATGAGACAGGATAACAGTTCCAATCGCGGAATAGTTTGTTTTTCAATGGGGGCGACTCTTGTCTTAGATGCTAAAAATCTTACGTAAGTACTGCTGGCAGTTCTAATTACCAAATAGGTCACCGCGGCATATGCCATCTTTGACGCATCACAGAAACCATGGATGGTGGAAGAAATTACTCTCTCGCTTATATTATAGAAATAGCAACGGGGAAGGAGAATGCGTTTCATCTTCCGTAGTTCTGCTACTAGTTTCTCCCATTTGACTCGTATCGAATGTGAGATCTCATCATCCCAACCAACTTTACTTTCGCATAACTCTTGGAACATTTGTTTAAACTGGACAGTTATTGGTGACATATATCCCAACGGGTCGTAAAACTTAGCGGAGAGTCGAACGATATTTCGCTTGGTGGGTTCACAGGTTTTGGCCAATTCAGCTATGCCACTTAAGTCAAAAACAAGTTGATCTTCAACGAAGTTCCAATTTACCCCAAGAACTCGTTGTTCACTTTCAGATGTTGTGGGTTCAGTACCAAGCGTGATCTTTGAATATGTCTCATCTTCATCGACAGCATCAGGTTGTTCAGAGTTGTGACTTGTACTAATATCCTTTGCCAGCTTGTTGGATAACGTAGATTCGTTCCTTTCAATCTTCTCCATCAGCCTTGGCGAATTAGTAACAAACTTTCGTAAATTGAAACCCCCTTCCGCCAATCGGAGCTTTGCCTTCTTATACAACATGTAAACAGAGTCATCATCATTTCCACCAGAATTCAAGTCATCGACGTAAATAGCTCGTAAAAACGCATCCACAAATTTGGGGTCTTCACAACGGTACTGTTCGATATGGTGTCTTATGGTGGCGTTGAGCAAAAACGGACTGGACGACACCCCAAACGCGACCCGGGTGAATCTGAGGGTGATGACCTTCGGGTGTTCACTCCATACGTCGTCGAACCATAAGAACCTCAGAACGTTTCGATCTACCTTTGCGACTGATACCATAAGAAACGCCTTTTCGATATCTCCAGCTAATGCAATTCTATGACTCCGGAATCGTAGAATGATATCCATGATGCTCTGTGTCATTGCAGGACCAGTGTACAAGCAATCATTTAGGGATGGACCACTCGATTTTGCCGAAGCATCGTATACTATTCTCAGTTTTGTGGTTTGCTTGTCTCGCCTTATCACCGCATGATGGGGCATGTAATGGACCTTTCTCATTTCACCAACATCTTTCTTATCAACTATTTCTACAATTCCTCGATTCAACTGATCCTTGATGACAGCATCGTATTCTTTAAGTACTTCTGGGTCCCTTTGTAATCATTGTAGTAAGCTCATTAATCGTCGGCGACTCATCTCAAAATTATCAGGTAGGATTTGGTGCTGTTCCTTCCATGGAAGATTTACCTCGTACCGTCCATCCTTGAATGTGATGGTGCTCTCAAATTCGTCATGTACCGACCTTTCTTGCTTCAGTATGCCAAGTGACTCTAAGTCCCAGAAAGCTCTCAGATCCCTTTCAATTCCTTGGCTCTGGGTTTGGGTAGGTGAGGTTGCACATCTTAGGACATGTGTAGTGGCTAAATTCGTAGCGGGTTTGGAGATTGGCATCCGCTCGTCTTCGACTGGACCAGAAAGAACCCATCCCAATCTTGTACCGACTGCCGTTGGACTATTTTCTCCCCTTTTAACCTCTCCTGTCACAAGATCCCAATACTGGTCGCAACCAATGAGAATATCGACTTCTGAGTTGCATATCCCTGTCGAACAATCAGCCAATTTCAGGTCTCGCAAATGATCATAACTTTGTTGGGCTTGAGAAGTAAACTGATGTTGCAGTGGCTCACATATCATCGGTACTGCATAGGCGGACAGACTTATCTCAGCTTGGTCATGTTGCGATTTCAATACAAACTTTACAGAATCACAGGTTTGAATTCTCTCTTCTTCTGAACCAAACGTTTTTATCACCATTGTTTCTGTTTTCTCTGTAGGTAAATTTAACTTATTTCTTACTCGATTAGTTATATAAGAGCGCTGGCTACCGCTGTCCAGAATGACTCTCACCTTTGCACTGTTCACTGTTGCATCGCCTTGCGTAATGGTTGCTTGGGCTGTCTGCGGAAGGACAGGTGTCTTGGAGCTCACGAAAAGATTTGTTCCATTGGTTTGTTGTTTGAGGGGATTATTTTCCGATCCTGTTTTCTGCTGAGCTTGTAATCCTTGGTCCTGTTGTGCACCTTTCTGAACATTGGCAGGGTCTTCAGACTTTCGCTGATTGCTATCTTTCGTGCAGATACTTATGTGATGCCTACCACGACATTTGAAGCACTGAGTTTTAGAGCTGCAATCTCGACACAAGTGATTTTTCTTTAGGCATAAGAAACACCGACCGCCCTTTCGTAAAATGTCCTTTCGGGCTGTGACATTTGAGACAGTTTGACAACTATTAGAGGTGTGTGGACCTTGGCAATAAGTACAACTGATTGGAGAGCCCCCCGTCTGTAAGACTGCACCAGATGGTAGTTGTCTTCCTTGTAACTTGGGGTGTGGGTTACGCTGCAAGTTACTACTGCCAGCGCTACTGTTGCTGGTTGCTCTTTCTCTTGCTTCTACTTCGGCCTCAAGCAATTCCAGTAATCGGTCAAGATCCCAGTTATCATTCTTTATGTCACGACTGATCAGTATACGCAAGTCTTGTGGGAGCTTGTTCATGAGCATTGAACATAAAAGATTACCATATGATTGTGATGGTATACCAAGGGACTTGAGGGCCCTAATGTGCGACTCGACTGTGTCATACAATGATCTAAGCCCCTTCAAGTTTTGAACTGATGTAACTGGATCCAGATTGAGAAGGATATCCATGTGCTTGTTTACTGCCAATTGCTTATTCCCAAATCTTTTCTTAAGTATGACAATTGCTTCATTATAGTTCCCAGATGTTAACGTTAGTCCCGATATTGCATCAGCCGCTGTATTCTCAAGGAGTGAGTTGAGATAATTAAATTTGTCAATATCTGACAAGGAGGGATTCTTATCAATCGCAGATTCAAAGGTGTCCCAGAATGTAGACCAGGTAGTTATATCACCCCGAAATTTCTTCAGGTTTAACTTTGGCAGTTTAACAGAGGGTTGATTCATTTGATGGCTTGACTGAGTTGTAATTCCATTCTGACTAGGGGAGCCAGGGCCTTGCATTTCCTCGAAACCCGCCATGGCCAATACTGTTTCAGTCTGGTTGTTTTGTGGTGTCGGTGGGGTAGAGTTATTTTGTGGTGTCGATGGGGTAGGGCTATTTTCAATAACAATGTTAGCAGATTCATTCGACTGTGTAATTTCAGTTAAAGTATTTTCAATTTCAAGAATTGTTGATTGCATATTTTCCCTTAGAATATCTGCTTGCTCAATTTCAAGTTCTACATCATCATCGCCTACAAGTTCCAGAATAGCATTGTCTTGTTGTTGAAATACAACTAGTTTATCTTCGAGTGTTTTCTTATAAAGTGTAAGCTTCACAACATGAGGTGCTAGTTTAGATTTATCATCAACACTTGTCAAGAGATCATTCGCTGCAGAAATTGTTCGTTTTGTTGATGTTCTGTGGCCATTTCGGACTCTTTTCATTCTACCCAACTCTTGGGCTTCCGTCATCGTAATGAGAGTTTTAATATGAGTTTCAATTTCAAAAGAATACTGATAAAACAACTTACCAGTCGAGGGATTTCGTCGTGTATTAGATTTCAAATTCCAACAGTGTTTTACATTCGCATTATAAATCTGCTCTAATCGGGCTTCGAAGGACCATGTTCGATATGGAGAATTGTTTCCTTTATATTGAGTTATTCTTAGATTCAAAAGACTCACTTCATGCACTGGTTTTGTACAAATTTATTACATAAAACACAACATAAACACACATAAATTCCCTCTCGTACAATTCTTTCCTCGTGTTCAGTTTTTGTACGCATGCGCCATGCTTCCACTTAACAATAGCAACTTCCACTAGGAAAATAAACTTCTGTCTTCTCTTACAATTGTTAGGTTAATGTTACTGGCACGTTTGTTGGTTTGTGTGCAATAAAACATAAAGTTATTAATTAGTTAATACGAACTGTATGATTTCTTTCTTTCTAATTCATTTGGAAAAGAAGAAATGGCTATATTTTTCATTTTTACTTCTGAGTAATTGAAATGAGTGAGTTCACACCATATCGAATATCATGTTGAATCTCATGCGTACTTCACAGTGGTTGTCCGACCATCACTCTGAGCATTTTCCTCGTTTAATAACAATCGCGACGCTTCGTCAAGATTACTAGCACAATTTTTCAAAAGTTCCCTATAGCTGTGTTCCCACTAATATTTGAGGGCCCCCTATACTTTTTGCGTGAAGCGTGAAGGGCTTATTTTACTTAGCCGTGAAACGTGATCGGGCCCCCTATACTTTTTGCGTGAAGCGTGAAGGGCTTATTTTACTTAGCCGTGAAACGTGATCGATGATTTTCTTAATCCGTGACTCGTGAAAAGGCAAAATATTTTTACGTGAAAGCATATTGTTAAGAGGTATAGGGGGCCCTCATATTTCCACGAGAGGATGTCATAATTTAGGATTTGCGAAATATTTAGATTTTAAATTCAGCGATGTATAAAAACATGTGCACGTACTATAAAAATTTCAAGTTCCTTGCCCACGTGCTCTAGCAGCCCGTAAGCTCGCAAAGGATCATAATTAAAGTTATATGAAAAGTCGTGTGTTATCCGAAATTTATAGCGTTATATGAAAAGTCGTGTGTTATCCAAAATTGAAAGTGTTATATGAAAAGTCGTGTGTTATCCAAAATTGAAAGTGTTATATGAAAAATCGTGTGTTATCCGAAATTTATAGGGTTATATGAAAAGTCGTGTGTTATCCGAAATTTATAGCGTTATATGAAAAGTCGTGTGTTATCCGAAATTTATAGCGTTATATGAAAAGTCGTGTGTTATCCGAAATTTATAGCGTTATATGAAAAGTCGTGTGTTATCCGAAATTTATAGCGTTATATGAAAAGTCGTGTGTTATCCAAAATTTACAGCGTTATATGAACAATTGTGTGTTATCCAAAATTTATATTGTTATATGAAAATGAAAATCTTATCTTAAAATAGAATAGCATTTTTGACACCGATGACGCGCCATAATTAGGGAGCATTCATTTTTTAGCTGGGGGGTGGGCCGGAGGAATTTGGGGGTGGGTCAGCCAATTTTGACATGCTTCAAAGGGGTGGGTCTTTTTATAGTTTTGGTATAAATGGAGGGGGTCATAAAAATAATCAGTGAAAAAATCACCAATATGATTTTATAGAATTTGGAAATATTTGGATCAAGAATGGTAAAAAGGTATACCGGTATAGAATCTATCAACTATCTCGTCATCTATAACAATGAAGCAAAATTCATTTGACGCTCTGTTCACACAGTCCATAGGAAAACATTTCCATGACGTTCGTCAATTGACCTCGTTTTTATCCGTTTTTGTGTGAAAACATGAATGAAAGAAAACGCAGGACTGTAGCATGATTTCAAAATCATGCATGATTTCAAGGTCTGCATGCATGACTTCAAAATCATGCAGACCTTGATCAATTTTAAGCTTTATTAATTTTAAGCGGCTACATTATCCATGACAAACTGCAAAGAATGAAGATAGTACCCACAGTTTCCTGCAACTTATCCTAGTTATCCAATATAAATACGCCTTCGCCCATTTAGTACTACCAAATTGTCAATTTCGACATACTAAAACGCTGTTTTCTGACCATCAGAATTCTGTCAAATCTTCCCCCCAAAGGCCAGGAAATGGCATTTCAGAGACTCTAGATTTAAAAATTTCCTAGGTCCTTCAGCCCTCGCTTTCAGCCCCCCAATCAAAAAGAGCTTCCTACGGACCCTGAAACGCTATGGAAACGACACCGTGCGGATTATTAGTTAGGACGAGGAGTCAAAAAATTTTCAGTAAAAAAAATAGGGGGTCATAATTTTTTATCAACTTTTGTCTTGGGGGTTCCAAGTTTTCGCATCGAATTAGACATCAGTTCCTCCGCCCCCCCCAGCTAAAAAATGAATGCTCCCTAAAACAATTAAAAACAGTTAATTTATTTTTTACTTAAATCTTCGTCTGAAATTTGTTCAAATCGCTTCATAATGGCCACCGCCGAAACATCGATCTCGAACCCACCTCCTAAACATACGTCAGCAGGTGGGTTCGAGATTGAACGCACCTCCTCGTATAAATGAGATAATACACTGTAAATTTTACACTGTAAATTTCGTAGCAATAATGTTCTGTTCGGTGTTTTATGTGAGATAGGCGTTGACTGTAAATTGGCGGGAAAATCTGTTAAATGGCGGGAAAATATGTACTCACGACTCTTGATGAATTGTAGCGTTATTTGTCTGTGATTTCGCGGTATTCGGCTTCCTTTTATTCTTTAGTTTCTCATCATAGATAGGAGCTCATCCATTTCATGAGAAGACGCTAATAAACTACACTTTAGCTCGGGCGGCCTGGGGACGAGGATGTTGAGAATGCAATCTCGTTCCCCAAGCCTGCGATCCTCGCGAGGCTCTGGGATAATCCGTTTCAGGGAGGAATCTGATTGGCCATTGAAATGGAATGCGTAGTTCAATCTTAGCCAGGATTCTTGGCTTCCGGTAACGGATTATCCCAGAGATTTCTTCCCGAGGATCGCAGGCTCGGGGAACGAGATTGTTGAGAATGATGAAAAAACAAAGCTTAGTGTCCAGGCCTCTTATGGTGAGAGTAAACTGAGCTATAAATGTTAGTGGATGTTTTATATTATGACTAGTTATTCGTACCGGTATTGTACTAGCCATCAGAGTTCTTGCTCGATATTTGTTTCAAAACTTTTGTTGTGCACGATTTTTTTTTTGGGGGGGGGGATATTTTCTGTGCGCGATTTTTTTTGGTATTCCCCCCCCCCTAATGGTCCGTCCCTTGTAATGGCGAATATATGGAACCAATAGTATCGAAAATATCACACACTGAAGGGACGTTGTTGACGCTCCTCTCTAACACAAGGTTTAGTCTATGTGAAAGCAATGAATATACACTGACTAGTCTGCACCAGCTGCAGTGAGATGCTGTTGTACAACCTCATCCTTATTGCTGGCTGCGTCAAAATCTTTACCGTACCTAAGGCCAACTAAATTACTGATGACTTTCTTCTCTTTCTTTTTTCTTTCCTTGCCTTTGTCGCTTCAGCTATTCCAACAAGTTGGACATCGATGGGTTGATTTACAATTTTAAAATTGTGCATGCGTTCCGGCGACAAAATATGCGTCCGTGCTTTGGCATGTTTTGCCAGTCATCCCCTTTCACCAGCAGCTTTCTTCCATGAGCATGAGCAGCTTTCTTCCATGAAGACGTCGGAGCTTCCAACTAAAAAAGTTTCACCAACAATGTTTGATTATGTTCAAATTTATATCTAACTAAATCGCAGGGCCGTAGGTTCAATTCCTACCAGAGGACCTTGTGCTGCATTTTTCGCAGTCGTTCCTGGTTAGGTCTTAAAATGTATATATTCTCACTTCGATTACAAACCCTAACATTCTAATATTAATTCCACCCAGGCCCGGAGCTACGGGGTGGGGGGGGTGGGGGGGGTGGGGGGGGTGTGACCCTCCCCAGTAATTGTATTCAGTCGGCAGGACTGCTATTCAGTCGGTACGACTGCTATTAAGTCGGTAGAACTGCTATTTGGGTTAAATATTTTTGGCGCAAAGGGCAAGAACGTGGTGGTGGGAATTTTAGGAAAATTTTGAGGAAAAATGTAAAAATTTTGGAAAAATGTAAAAAAATGTTGAAAATTTGTTATGTCCGGAAAATTTTTGAATGTTCCGGAAAATTTTTGTATGTCCGGAAAATTTTTTGGACCCCTAAGATGGTGCACTGACCGAAATTTGTTTGGCGACGGGGGGGGGGTTCCGGAAATTGTGTTCCGGAAAAATTTTTTTGGACCAGTCGGTTGAATTGAATTACACCCCCCTGAAGAATTTCCTGAGGACGGCCCTGATTCCACCAAGTGAAGTGCAAGAATCCAAATTATTGAAGTCCACCTTATCACAACCCGCACACCCGATTACCTATATATACATGAACTTGCGGTTACAGCTCAACAGCTGGCCTCTGTAGCTCAGTTGGTTAGAGCGCTGCACCGGAATCACAGGGCCGTAGGTTCAATTCCGACCACAGGACCTTGTGCTGCATTTTTCGCAGTCGTTCCTGGTTAGGTCTTAAAATGTATATATTCTCACTTGGATTACAAACCCTAACATTCTAATATTAATTCCACCAAGTGAAGTGCAAGAATTCAATTTATTATCCTAACCCACCCTGTCAACTTCCCCTGTGGGAGGAAACCGCAGTGGGAGAAAACCCACGACTTTGACTGACTCTTTTCATATGAGCGTTCACTGACTCTTTTCATATGAGTCCGTAGCGAGAATCTCGGCGTGAATCGAACCCACGTTCTCAGATGTGCGACTTATTTATATCCTCAATATTTCTTTCAAAATTCAACTATACAGGCCAACCAAGCATTCATACGATCCACTAGTTACTACTTCGTCGTTACAGTGCAAAATCATCTTCCAGAATTTCGTAGTTACTGG